CGCTGAGCCTCCCTGAGGGACACACCAGCTGCCGAATGCTCCTTGGGTGGCCAGCCAGGGCCACTTGTCCACCACTGGGCTCAGAGCTGAGGTTTGGACTTGCTGTCCTCAGGTTGCCTTCCCGCCACGCCTGGTGCTCCCGAGAATGCAGCCACTCCCCTCCAGTATGTATGGGAGGCAGATGGGGGTCACGGGGTCTCAAGACAAGGAGGGGATTCCTGGGGCTCCACTCACTCAGGAGCCTGGTCCCATGGGTGAGGCAGGTAGAGTGTCCACGGGGAAGTGAGGCCACTGGGAGGTGTGGGCCGTGGGGATGGCGAGGAACCAAGGGCCCCCTCAGCCTGGCTGCTGCTCTGCGGAGCTGGGGGTGGGGTAGGGGTGCTGATGGATCTGAGGAGCCAGCTCTCCCATGTCTTCAAGGGAAGCTGATGTTTTTAAGAGTAAAAACTCTAATTTGATTAACATTTGCTTCATATTCACATTCTAAAAAGTACCGTGGGGGCAGCGATGAGGCTGCTGGCTGGATTTGGACTATGGTCATCTGCTGGGGGTGGTGACCAGGCTGTCCTCCCTCACATCAGGTGGGCTCAGGGAGTGGGGAGCTTGCATATGACTTCTGAGGCTCCAGAGCCCTGATCCTGCGCTGGGGAAGGCTCCAGGCTGGACCTGGCTGCGGGCAGCAAGGGGGAGGCGGCTCTGGCCTTGGTTGCACGGTGTCCTGGGAGACAGGGCCAGAGTCATGGCCAGCTGTGCACACATGTACTAGGTTAGGTGCAGCTGTGCTGCAGTGGAAACCCCCAGATTTTGGGGGCTTTACCTAGAAAAGGCTTATTTCTTGCAGGAGAAGTCCGCTGTGTCTGGGTGACCCTCCAGGGCAGCCAACCTCACGCACAGGCCAGTCTGCCCACTCCATGTGGAGGCTCTGCCACCTTGCCATCTTGCCCACAGCCCCCTGGAGGCGTGGGGAGCTCCCTCTCCTGTGTGCACAGGTGGGGACCACCCAGGGATGGGACGGGCGGATGGGCAGGTGCCTCTCTTTCTCCTGTCGCTCCCACGCCCACGCAGTGCTGTAACTGGCTGCCACGCTTGTGCTTTCTCAGAGGGGAGAGTCAGAAATAGACTGTGGCTTCCCCAGTTCCAGGCGGCACCTGCTCATCACCCACAGCAACAGCTTCTGAATCAGGAGGGACCGGACAGCGTGGGCAGAGCTGGGGAATCCCTCAGAGTGCTGACCCTGCCCACCCCTCCCGAGGCTCCTCCCCTGCCCTCCCGAGGCTCCGCCCCTCCCTTCCTGGGGCCCCGCCCCCTCTCCCCCAAAGCGCAGCCAGCCTGGGGCTACGTCCCCAGAGAAACCTCTGCTACTAAGGCTCCAAGGATGTTTTAGCAGCACTCCTCCAGGGGCCACACCAAGAACGTTTCACACGGAGGGAGGGGAATCGGCGCCCATGGTTTGCTGCTTTGTTCAGGCCACTCACGTTTGTCGGTGCCAGGCTCTGGGGTCTGCACGAGGAATAACACCTGCTTACAAGTTTGTTTCTCTGAGCCCCGCCTATCTCATCTGTAAAATGGGCATAATCGCGTTGTCTGTCCTTGACATTAAGGTCGTAGTCACTCCTGCTTTGGGAAGCTCCATCCCCACATGGAGAGTGGAGCCGAGTCTCAGGTAGTAAATGAATGGAATATTGTGTTTAATATGTATTTAGTCCAACGTGTATGATGTAATTTGGAGTTTGCAGTGTTCTTACTCTGGAGCCAATATCTCCCCCTTTTCTGGAACACTTCACTGGCCTGTGACCATTTGTGGGCCTGGCTCCCAGAGGTTCCTGTCTGATGAGGATTCTTCTCCCTGACCCCACCCCTGGCAGCTCGACGTCTCCTGTGGGCAGGTTCTGCCCTGTCCTTCCTTGGACTGCAGTCCAGGAGAGTCCGGAGGTGCTTCCAAAGACAGATCCTCTCCATCCCGCACTGCCTGCTTCACACCCTTCAGCACATTCGGGGCTCCAGAGATCCAGACTGCAGGCTGGGTGGGTCCTGACCCCTGCCCCGTAGGTGCGCACACACCTTTACCCAGTCCAGTGACACTTAGGAGACCTTCTCTTCTCAGGACATGTGCTCCTCCACTTTCTCCAGGCTCAGCAATCCCCATTTACCCTTCTGATCTTGACTCAACATCAGCTTCCCAGGCCTCGCGTGTGTCCAGGTTGGCCCACCTACCCTTGGGCTGTCATGATGTTGTAGGTTCCTCCTCTTAGTGCTGGTCACTATGGAAATGCTAGGTGGTTTGTGTGATAACTTCAGACTGATGCTGAAGCTCCAATACTTTGGCCACTTGATGCAAAGACCTGACTTATTAGAAAGGACCCTGATGCTGGGAAACATTGAAGGCAGGAGAAGGGGACAACAGAGGATGAGATGGTTGGATGGCATCACCGACTTGATGGACCTGAGTTTGAACAAGCTCTGGGAGTTTGTGGTGGACAGGGAAGCCTGGTGGTTGCAGAGTCAGCAACAGAACTGACTGACTGACTTGTGTGATAATGGACTGAATGTCTGTCCCCTCTAGAGCCTGTGTTCCCCGAGGGCAGGGCTGGGTCTAACTTCTTCCAGCTGTATCCCAGGACTGGCTGTGTCCTCTGCGCTCACTAAACCTCTGACACAAGAGGCCTGGTGAACCCAAGTTAGTTCTCAGGCTCCTGAGTAGGGGTGTCAGGTACAGGCAGGTGTGAATCCAAATGGGGACCCTCGACCTGCAGTACCACCCTTCCCTGTGATTGGGGTCCCCTAGGGAGCGGCTCTGGTTGCAGTCCAGCTGTGGGCTCCCTCTGGGTACAGGGGCAGGTTGATGATAACCCAGCAGGCTGCATGTTGTTCACAGCTGGTGGACTGCCCCTTCTGGGCCATTCGGGGGTTCTTTAGGGGCCTGCTGTGGCCCTTACCCTGGCAGGCCTGCCTTCACCCCTAGAGCCAGCAGCGGAGATTATGGTGGTGAGATATCCACACCTTTCTGAGACGTGCAAATTGGATGAAATGCCTCTCTGGGAACTCAGTCCATGATCAGCTGACAACCCACAGGTTGGGTTCTCTCCAGACATTTCTTGAGAAATCTCTGTCCCAAGCAAGCTTGGTATAACAGGTGTATTTGTGCATTTTCTCATTCAGTTCTCTCACCTTTGTGAAGATCTATTATTAGTCCTCATTTTAGAAGAGAAAACAGGGCTCCAGCAAGAAAAATCCCTCCATGGGGGCAAAGTGAGTAGAGTTTTGGGGTACTTTTCAGGCTTGAGGAGATGCGTGGTCTCCATCCTCAGCTGTCCCTGCAGGCATCGTAGCTGGTCAGCTGGCAGCCCCTAAGGAATAGGCTCTGCACCTCGTGCGGATTCTCCTCAACACTGCCAAAAGTTCCTCTTCCAGGAAGTCCTCCTTGATCACTGCCCCCATGGCTGTCTCCAAGCCCAGCACCTGAACAGTTAGGAGACACTGTCTAGAAATGTGAGCTTCTCAAGGCTGGTTCCTTCTTTTCTGCTGTCTCTTAGGAAATGGACCGCGCCTGCCCCTGCCCCTTCCCTCATCCATCACGTCCCCACCCCTGTTTTCTCTTCTCCATGGCATTGCCCACTTGCTGGGATGATTGCTCACTTGCTGTTTGTCTGCCTTCCTCTTTAGACTTGAGTTTTCCAAGGGTAGGACCACTGTGTCCTGGGGCTTGGGAGAATGCCTGCTGCAGAGCAGGTACCCCCGCCCCACCCGTCACTTAGTGAATGAATAAATAGCATGGGGGGGCGCGGGTTGACCAGGCTGAGGGAGCCCCACCCAAACAGCTTGGTTTGGTGCCTGCTGCTTGCCAGGGAGAGGGAGGCCCTGGCCCCTGGGTGCCAGCCAGGAGTTGTCTGAGGGCACGCTCAAGTCTCAGCAGACATGCAGACAAGATGTTCAGCAACCACCCACCAGCCAGCAGACGCACAAAGCCCGCCTGGGAGCCGATAGCACAGTGTCGCCTTGAGTGTGGAAGGAGGAGCAGCTGAGCCCCCGGGGGCCTGGGCTTTTTGCTGGGACAGGGGTTATAAATAGGATTATGGCCCCGAATTGTGGGCATTCAGAGGCTCCGCCTGTCACCTCCCTGCAGTGGCAGAAGGATCCGGAAGTGGGGACGTTTCTGGCTCTGCCCCAGGGATAACATTATTGGAGTTACAGAAATAATTGGAGCTTGGCATTAATGTTGACTGGTTATGCCTCCCTCTCCTGACAAGCCTTTTATTTATTTATGTATTTCTTCTTTTTGGCTACGTCCTCCAACTCCCTCGATGAGAAGCCATTTAAAAGGAAATGATAATTTGTCCTCCTATCTCACCAAGCGGACTGGCAGAGCAGGCGGCGGGCGGGCGGCTGTGGGCGTGGCCCGCGCGCGCGCTCAGCCCAGGAGATTCCCAGCCAGGATTGGATGCGCTTCTTCCCTACGCGCCTGGGCTCCGCGCCCGCTAGAGGCAGGAGCTTCCCCATCGCCTCCCTGCAAGCAGGGTCGGGTGAGGCCGGACCGCGGCTGGAGCAGAACCCGGGCGAGTGCCAGTGTTCGGGTCGCTGGGAGCTTGAGACACAGAAGCTGGAGACGCGGCTGCCTGCCCCTCCCTGCGCCCCCGGACAGGGGATCATCTCCTGGCTGGATCTCGGACCCGCGCCTAGGGAGCCGTCCAGCCTGCCGGCCTGGCAGCAGATCTGGACATGATGAGCTGCTCGTCCGGAGCGGGAGCGGGAGCGCGGGCTGCCCTAGCCGCCCGGTGACAGAGGGCCACCTCCCTCCCGCGCGGGGGTTGGACTCGATTTGCCAGCAAGAGGCTGCCTCCGACGGAGGTCCCTCCACCTCCTCCCCCTCCTCCTCCCCCCTCCCGTTTTTTGGGAGGCAATCTTCAGGGGGTGCGCCAGCCACCCCGTACCCTCACAGACCCTGGATGCAATTCGCCGGCAGCCGCCATGGTGCAAAATGTAATTCTAGTGTTTTTCCGCAGACGACTGAGCCAAAGACCCGCGGTGGAGGAACTGGAGAGAAGAAACATCTTGAAACGTGAGTAGTGGCGGCCCCCTGGGGCTTCCCTCACGTGTGCTCCTAGGCTGCTGTGGGAACCTGGCTCTGCAGGCTGGCTGAGCCCTCCTGTGTTCCCCTCGCCCTGAGCCGCTGTTGGGAACTCTGAAAGCAAGCCCCCAGGAAAGTTGAAACAGCCAGCAACATCCCGTTGAAAATTAAAAAGGAAAAAGCTCTCCTGGCATCATTAAAAATGTCCCTACTTCGGGGTTATGTCATGAGTCAGCTCTCTAGATGGAAGAGAAATGATGTCCTTTGGCAGGCTGGGTTTCAAGCAGGTGTCCCTGGCAGTTTGGGACTAGGGCTCCTCATGGTCACAGACATCACAGGCAGCTGTGGACAGAGTATGAAACCTACCAGCGAAGGGCTCAGCCCTCTGTAGTTCCCTGGGGGGGAGTAAAGTACCAGCTCAAAGGAACAGAAAAGCCTAGGAAGTTGCCTGTGGCTTAGAACTCTGAAATTTTAGATCCTTCCCTCCTTCACATCCTTTGGGTTTCCCCAGGTAGAGCTGTGGTTGCAACATGTGCTGAGCACCAGCATCCAGGAAGAGCCTCTGTGGTACAGAGAACACTGCTCCATCTCATTAAAGGCATTGAGGATTTGGGTGGTAGAACCCTTTCAAAGGTGTTTCCCAGATACTTCTGTCGTATCTGGTCAACAGACTTAGTTTGCGAGGAATTTTCTATAGCCTGTCTTCTAAGGGCCTGGATTTTTAAAATGTTTTTCTCTCTTTAGGAGTGAGCACTGCAGACATTCTCTGAATTTGGTTTTTCATTCCATGAATGCCTTTTTACAAAGTTAAGACAGTCCCATGACTGACCTTCTGTCCAAAAGTAGAAGGCAGAACCTCTGGTCTGGGTGTTGAGTCCTAACTGACTCTTTCCTCTTTCTTGACTTCAGCACCTTTATTAACTGCCTGGAAGACTCCCCCTTTTAAGGACTGTTGGAAATATTTAAACCCTAAGATTATGAATTTTTTGTTTTAGGGACTTCCCTGGTGGTTTAGTGGTTAGTACTCCAGGCTTCCCCTGCTGGGGGCACAGGTTCAATCCCTGGTCAGGGAGCTAAAATCCTGCATGTTGAGCAGTGCAGCAAAAAAAAAATTAAATAAATAAAATAAAGTGTTATTTTTAAACTTGATATGGTGACTACTATTCTATATTACATCAACTAAGCCGTATCTGAGAATTTCAAGAACATCTTTTCATGGATAGCTTGCTTAATCAGGTGGGTACATACAAATGTGAAGCTGTTACCGAATATTTGAATTTTAAAAAATTAAGTCACTGACTTATAAAGCTCATCAGCCACAGATGCCCCCTCAGGTAGTAATCTAAGACTCAAATGGGGCAAGTTCAAGGCCCAAGGAGTGCTGCCCTCAGCCTGGTTTGCTGCCCAAAGTGGGCAGAGGCTTTTATTTTAGGAACCATTTCTCCTGTCAGTGGTCACTTCTTCTCTGCTCTAGTGGATGACCAGGTCCTCCCACCAGCAAGTGCTTATAATTGTGTTAGTCTTTGCACATAGACACTTAGATGTGAAAGCCTGAATATCAGAACTGTGCCTGGTGAGCAGAGATGGCAGGTGGATCCTGGACTGACGGCACTCACCTCCAGGGTAGGAAAACAGGCTCCCTGCTGCGGCCCTGACAGTCTCTTCCTTGCCACTCAGCCGGTCAGGTCCGTCCCTAGTTGGAAGCTTCTCAAGTGCCCTGGGCAGCATCCTTGAGAATGTCACTGCTGGTTTGAGGTGGGTGTTTGGTTTGGTTTGGTTCTGTGGAGATGAGGATCGACTGACTATATATGGTCCAGCCTAGAGCGTCATCCCCACAGCCCTTGACACTGGCTTGCACTCTTGCTGCATTTTCTGCTTTGAGTCAATGGCTTAGAATATCACCACATTGTACCTGCTCCCCTTCAAATGGGGCCTCATGGCTAACTGTGATCATGTTGGAAGAACGCTTAGAACTGAGCTTGTGCATTTGTGGATACGAGAGTGTCAAAACACAGTGGCCCTCTTTCATATGGTCGTATTAGAAGTGGTCATTCCAAGGTGGGCCCACTCTGTGCCAGGCATTGTACTCAGGGCTTGCCTCTGTTCCCTCGCTGAGTTGTTAGCAGACAGTTGTGAGGTTTGCATGGCTGTTCCCACTTTCCTTGTAAGGAAGCTCAGACTTTGGGAGGTAATAGGACTTTTTAACATGAGTGTTGGCAGAGGGAAGGAGCAGAGGTTCATGCGCAGGTGGCCTGGCTCCATCATCCATGTTCTGACCACTGCCTAAGGAGCAATAGTGCATTTGATTATTTACAGGTGCTTGTGTGACTGTCCAAGCTACTGGCACTATTTCCAGAAAATCTGGGTATGGAGGCTCTGATTATTTCTCCCTTGTTTTGTATAAAGCACAGGACTTTCTGAGTCTGAGAATAAGAGATCTATAAACCCATTGCTCAGGGGAGCTCAGAAAGTCTGTGGCTTAGGCTCTCAGGAAGGACCTTGGAGCTGGTGCCCCGAAGAGCACCTGGCCTGCAGGGACACACTCCCCGGGCACCTCCAAGACCCCTGCTGTGCTCCGATGACCTTGTAATGATGCTGATGTTGTCCACAATTTAAAAAACAGAAAGATATGCTCTTATTTCAGTGTTTTTATATGGAGGGTGTACTGAGGATTTGTTCATGGCCTGTTTTTAAGAAATATGAAGAATTATGGGACTTCCCTGGCTGTCCAGTGATTAAGACTCTGTGCTTCCACTTCAGGGGGCACAGGTTCGATTCCTGGGCAGGAACTAAGATCATGAGTGCCACACAGCATGGCCAACATTTTTTAAAATCTAAAGAATTAGTTTCATATCATCATTTATATCTCTTATGGTTGGCCTTCTATGTGGTATTTTCACATTTTTTTTTCTAATTGTATTATCAGCTCAGATGAAAGCTTCTAACTGTGGTTTCTTCTGGTTTTTCACTTAGATTAAGAACAAGGAACATAACAGGGATTGTTTTCTTTTTTTAAAACATTCAAATGAAAGATGAATCTTCCTTTTTAAAGAAAATTACTGAAAAGTTCAATGGCTATTATGTTAAATGCCCATATACCAAATCTCCTAAATGCATAGATGTTTAAAATGTTTCAAAGAAAGGCAGGTAACGTGAGCTTATGTTAACGGGGAGTTGCAGAATTTCCCTTCCTCAAACCTGGCAGTGATTCTAGGAGTGCTGACAGATGAGGGCTGTTTCCCAGGAATGGAATTCTGGGCCCCCTCCAGGGACCTGAGGCTTTATTTAGCAACAGAGAGAGCCAGAAATAGGACATCCATTATCTGGTATCCCAGGGCGGAGCTTACGTTTTACACTAAGTCTCAACATTCTGCTCCATTTTTAGCTTCCAAGTGTAGGTGTAAGCACGGCTTGCATGTTAATAGTGACACTCACTAGGCAAAACCAATTTTGGTGAGAGACTCAGGTCCTTTAAAAGGCAGGTCATGTGTCTCACTTCTGCAGTGAGAATCATCTGGGTTCCTGGGTATGTTTGGATTTGAAATGTAATCAGAAAATATGAATTCCAGGCAGGCATATTTTGCCCAGAATCTGAGGCCAATGTTCCTTATGTTGGTTGGCTAAAAGTATGAATCCCTTTTACATGGAAAAGCAGTGACAGTTCTAACAATATTCATTCATATATACTTGAATATATTATGTGTATATATATACATATAACTTATCCTACTAAAACATTTTTGTTTGCCATCTATGTTCCTACTTGTAAATACACACAGAGATGATATTTGATTAGGAGAGAATTGCTTCCTGTTTCTCCTGCAAATCAATGCCCAGTATCAATCTGTGTGGTTATTTCTAACACAGAAAAGGGCCCAGGAGAACCAGGCTGTGATGTTGGCAAAACTTTCCTTTATAAGTGTTTTTGTGGAACAATGAGACCATAGTTTCCTGAGCAGTGATTGGCAAAGTGCAATGATATGGAAAAAAGTGTCACCTGCCAGGTGTCCTTCTTGTTACACTTGTAGCCTCCAGAATGTCCAGATCTGAGCACATGTCCTTGCTAAAGAAGAGAAAGTCTCAACCTGATTCTTTGTTTTTCCCTTCTTTTGTTTTAATCTTTCACAGAAAGGAATGATCAGACAGAGCAAGAAGAAAGAAGAGAAATCAAGCAAAGGCTGACAAGAAAGGTATGATCATTTAAGCATCTCTTTCCTGAATATTAAGGTAGGAAAGACTGGGATAGGTGATGCAGGCCATCACTCTGTGATGCTGACCTGTGATTTCTTGGGCAACAGTGAATTCACTCACTGGACAGTCAAAAAGCAGTGCCTTTTGCATCAACCTGGGGGTGACTGATGTCCCCGTGGACTATGTGCTCACACAGCCATGGGGTACATGACTGCCGCCGTGTGGCCTCGATGATGTTGCCATTTGTTTCCAGGAAGTCAGATGCTGACTGGGCATGCTCTTCATTTATTTGAGCTCTTTACACAGTGCTCAAGCAAAGCATGCCTGGATATCAATGTGTCAGGTTACCTTTCACACTCCTTGGTTACCTTCCATTTGTCTAGAAGCTCCTGACTACAGAAAACTTCATTAGCTTCAAGAGTTTTTGTCTGAGACTCAAATAGTTAAGTCAAAATATACTATGGCCGATATAGGTAGCAAGTCTGTAAAGTTTGGTCTCCTTCTAAAGCCCTGACCATCTCTTAATTCGTCTTCTGGTGTTCCCTTTCTCTACTGCATTCTGTAATAATAATAATAAAATCTTGTCCTACTTGAAGTTAATAGAATATCCTTTCTGAGCTTGAGTTATGAGTGCTAGTAGTAGTATTTAGTATTTCAACTTTATCAGAAGCTTTTTTTGGAAAATCTTACCTAATGATAGTTGAAAAGCAACAGCTGGTGCTGTAGAATTTTTCCTTAGATAATTCATCCAGCTTTCCTTGAGTTGTGCCGTGGACAGGGCACCGCTAGCTTCCTGGGGGTGTGAGTGCTCATGACAAGATGTGTTAAGGGGAAGGGATTGTCATTTTAAGAGTGTATAATTTAAGCCCTTCACATTAGAGATTTTGTGTGTGTGTGTGTGTGTGCATTAGGGTTATATTTCAGCTTCAGAGCTTTACATTTATTTATAGAAGGGTCCTGGTTTGTTCAGGGTACTTGAACAAACTAAGAAAGCTAGTTTGGCATGTGAGACCTAACTATGGTGATCTTTTATTTTAGCTTAATCAGAGACCCACAGTTGATGAACTGAGAGACAGAAAAATTCTGATACGATTCAGTGATTATGTGGAGGTGGCGAAAGCACAGGACTATGACAGACGGGCAGACAAACCCTGGACGAGACTGTCGGCAGCAGATAAGGTACTGAGCAGACTTGTGCACGTTGGCTTATGGGTGTGTATGTGTCAGAAGACAGTGGGCACTATCAGCTGTTGAAATAGGCTGTGCTTGACCGGATGTGGAATCACAAATAGAACCTGGGATTAGGGTCGTGTTTTCAACTAGGGGATGGTTTTGCTCTTAGGGACATTTGGCAATGACTGGGACATTTTTGGTTACCACCAAATGGGCTTCCCTCATAGCTCAGTCAGTAAAGACTCTGCCTGCAATGCAGGAGACCTGGGTTCAATCTCTGGGTGGGGAAGAACCCCTGGAGAAGGAAATGGCAACCCACTCCAGTATTCTTGCCTGGAGAATCCCATGGACAGAGGAGCCCAGCAGGTTACATACAGTCCATGGAGTGAAAAATTGGACATTGACTTAGTGACTAAACCACCACCACCAGCAAGAGCCCTCAGGCTGCCTGGACTGAGCCTAACCTGCCAGGTACCTAATCCTCCAAAATATTCCTGAGAGAGAGGTGTTGCTATTATCCCTGTAGAGGTGCCATTGAACAGGTGACTGGGAAAGGCTGGCAGGACTTAGGCCTGGGAGCCTCTGTCTACAGAGTCTCTCCTACCTCCCCACTTCGAGTGACTTCCAGAACTTTTAAAGCATCCCTAAAGGAGAGGAACATAATACATTCAGCCATTGAGTGTGCTGAAATTGCTAAAGGTTCCTTGTCTTCATAAGCTGAGTGTGAGTTTGTGAGGTTATACATGAACGCACGTAAGCACTGCATCCTCTTGGAACAATGCAGACAGGCTATAGTTAGGTGCTCAGAGTGGATGTGCTCAGAGGAGCCCAGCCATGAAGGGAGAATTCAGGCATCTTTGGCAGCCTTTCCTTGCCCCAGAGGCTGTGTCTGATGTTTGTCTACCCTGGCCTGAGAGTTTATCTGAGAGACGCACACGATGAAAATGGGTGTTGGGAAGCTGGAGGGCCAGATGAGAAGCCCTGAAGACTGAGATGCACATCTCACCCACATGTAACAACAAGATTATGTTTCAAATGACACAAAATATAAATGTATGCCGAAGTTAGAATAACTTCTAGATTATCTAGTTGCAAAATTCCAAGTAAGTTCACCAAAACCTGAACCTCACTCATTATTCTGAGGTTCTTACTTTACAAGTGCCCTGAGCATGTGCTTGATCTATCTGTTATGTATCCTGGTGACATGGGATGGGGGTGGGGCGGGGTCAAGGCAGGGGGGTGATATATTCCCACTCCAGCACAGTAAACAAATTCACTAAATACTTCCAGAACACCAGTTATGTACTAGGTTGGGAGGGCTGTAAAAATAAGTAAAAGCCTAAATGCTAAGCACAAAAATTTTTTTACTCTATCTCAAAATAACAAAGTCAGCAAGTATTAGGAATGGCTATCAATCCACAACCATGATACTCATTTCCCATGCTAACTTTCTAAAGTCCTGAAAAATAATGTGCTGTTTTTAAATTCCAGGCAGCAATTCGTAAAGAACTGAATGAATACAAAAGTAATGAAATGGAGGTACATGCATCAAGCAAGCATCTGACAAGGTCAGATTTCTATTTGTATGAATTTCATGATACTTGCAATATGGTACTTTTTTTTTTTAAGAGAAAAAATGTCACAAATCACTATGTTAGGGTGAAAAAGAATTCAGTATGTCTGCAGAGAACTGTCTTGAACAGACAGAATGCAACTCAATTGAAAGTGCTGTTGGTTCCTGTGGTTTCACATAGGGCTTGGCAGGCTTTCCTGGTGGCCCAGATGATAAAGAACCCATCGGCAATGCCGGGACCCAGATTCAAGTCCCTGGGTTGGGAAGATCCCCTGGAGAAGGGAATGGCTGGTTACCCACTCCAGTATTCTTTCCTGGAGAATTCCATAGGCAGAGGAACCTTGTGGGCTACAGTCCTTGGGGTCACAAAGAATTGGACAGGACTGTGGGACTAACACTTTTGGTGAAGGGTGGGATGTAGAACAGTATTACACATTGTTTTATTTAAGTAATTAATGTATATTTAAAGACATTAGTCTCAAAGCACTGAAGGTAATTTGCCTATATTCCCCTTCTCTCATATTCAGAACCCGCCCACACCCGCCCCCCCAATTTATATGTAGAGGAGTGCTGTGAAATTACTCTCCGCACCAATCCCACTTGTTTCCTACCTTATTTAAGTTTATACTCACATCTTTAACACAAGCTCATGCTGCCCCGAAGGTCTTCCAAACAGCCTTTGTTCCTTCAGCAAATATGTGCAAATATGTCAGCAAATATGTGCCATTCTTATGCTGTGAGTCAGCTATAAGTAAAGGAGGGTCCCGTGTTCAAGGAGCTTATATCCCAATGGGGATATGGCTGATTCTTCCATAATCAAAGACTTTTCATACAAGGGGAATACACACATAAACAGGGGTGGCACGGGTTGGCCTGCTGATGCCAGTGTGCTCACAGGTGGCATATTCCCCCAGCACTTTCTCTTCCTGTCCATGAACAGCGATGATGAGGTTCTCACACACACGTTTATCCTCAAAGGACTGCCTGATGCCACACGCCCTCACCTGCACCGGCTGTTGGTCATCTCTCCCTTGGGCTAGAGATGCTCAGGCCCCAGACACACAGAGAAAGGAAATCCTGAATGGAGATACTGCCTTAAGACAAAACAGTGGACTCCTTTTCTTTTCAATTTGGCACAAAGTGGCCACCGTGGTTGTTATTTATAAGATTTACTCTGTAAAGTGCAATGTGGCTATGGAATAGAAACCAAGCCAACAGAATTCTGTCCTATGAGATAAGATAACTTTGAATATATCAAGGGAGGAAGAAGAGGTTGGAAGAGCAGGAAAAATGAAGCAAGTAGTTTGTTTAAAGATGTTTAAGGTTTCCCCCATGACTGGCACACTTTGGGGTAGGAATAAATCATCTTACTTTTGAGTGTTCAGAACACTAAAAAGTGTTTAGGAAATAAACATTCTTTGTAAAATATTCAGAGTTATTTTTAATGTTCAATCCAGTTATAGAAAAAAGATGTAATTACTGCATATTCTATGTATGGTAATGTGAAAATATTTAATACATTTCTCACTATACATTATTAAAAGATATTTACTAAAGATATGTACTTTCTCTCATTAGTCCTTGATAGCTTTTTCAGATGACAGAATTTTCAGAGTGAGCCCAAAACTTACACATCAGGAAATATTAAGATTTTTATACCACCACATTTTAGCATTCAATGTCAACTTTTAAAAGAGCAATGATTTTAGTGATATGAAATTTTAAGTGCATTAAACAGTACCACAAACACATTTTCAATTCTACAATAAAAAAATTATAACTCTACTATAATATCCAATCGTTTGTTAATCAGTTCATTACATCTGCTGATTCAGCAAAGCCCTGCTGTTTCTGTGACCTTCAAGGGCCTACCTAGCAGTTTTCAAGCTAAGTTTTAGATAGGCTTAAGAATTCACCATTCGATTCCTTTTGGGTTATGATGGGGCCTGAGTGGTGGGTGCCCTCTGAGGCTGTACACCACTGTAACCCAGGAGGTCCATCTTCATGTTTTACATGTTGGACTTCTGCAAAGATTTTAATAGCAACAGAGTAAATTGTGGAAGGTTTTTGGCAATTTAAACTTAGAAATGTATAACCTTGTCTTTTTTTTTTTTTTTACAACTTCTAGATTCCACAGGCCATAGAGATTTTCTTCTGAGAAGAATTGTGCTTACTTTTTGATACCAACACTGAACATCCATCAGGGAGCTTTCCTGAAGTTCAGCTCATGACTACCTGCTGTGTTTGCCAGAGGAGCAGGACCACACACACAGGTGAAATCCTGGCCACGCTCACCTGTGAGAGAATGACCAGAGGACACCCTTCACTCTCTGGGGCCTGAGGAGTGTCAACTGTTGGGGTCAGGAGAAACCCCAGGGACTCGACCCGAAGAAAACTATTGTTTGCCTTCCCGCCTTGTCTTGCAGCTCTGCAGTGTGACTGAGGATGGTGACGTGCGTGTGCAGGGTCACCACACTGAGGCTGTGACCAAGGGGCGTGTACGCAGTGTCTTCAGTACCATGTGCAAAAGACCTTTTTATTCTCATCACAATTAGAGAACTCTTTAAGTTCCTGTTATACAAAATGATTTACTGTATTATACTTTTTCTTTTTTTTATATAATGTCTAACAAAAAATACAGCTGCAACATTTTGATTCCTGTTAATTTTGTTCTTTAATTAAATGACTACTTATTGCAGGAAATTAACCTGGGTGTTACAGTTTCTTGGGGTGGGGTAAGAGATTTTTTTAGAAAAAGGATCTGTGGAACAAGTCAAATTTTATTATTTTTGAGCCATCAGAAGCCAAACACAGAAAGGAGAATTCAAACTTTTTGTGTGTTTTGTAAATTCTTTTAGTATTTGTGGTTTGTGCCTTAGGAAATCAAATTACCTTTTTCAAGTTAAGTTTATAAAGCATTTGAGTAATAAACCTAGAAATAAGTAACAACTTGTTGAAAAACTCTACTAAAAGGAAAATGATGACCTCTAAGAGTATTTTTAATTTCGTATTTGCAAACATTATTAAAGACTCTGTTGTAAGAGACAAAGGTTTAGATTGAGTGGAGCTCTAAGAGGATATTTATCCCAGCACAAAGGTAAAAGGTAATCTTGGCACAAAGAGGGGAAAGGAAGTTAAATAAGAATAAATGTTCCCTGGAATATATTTTTACTTAGCCTTTCAGTAAGTATCATTGCAAAAATGAGCCTGCCCTCCTGGTCCACTGAGTCCAGGAGCACAGTGCTTCCATCACGACGTTGGGATCTTGCAGAACCTGTGCCCAGATCCCAGCTCTGCACCACTCAGCAAGGTGTTTTATTTTCTCTGCAGGAAGCTCTCCCACCTGCTCCCCACCCGACCCCACCCCAGTCTCTCTCTCTCTCACACACACACCACCACTGGAATCTCTAAATGAGAAAAAGGAGGGGAAGTGTGTGTGAAGTACCAGCAAAGTACCCAGTCCATCATGTGGGTGTGGTTGCCAGGTAGCCCTGGGGCAGCTGAATGTCCCGTGGCTTCTCACCGCACAAGCTACCTCACAACTTCCCAGGACCTTTCTTGCGCTGCTCTGTGGCTACACTGGGTCAGGAGCCCATTGCTCAGCCCTTGTGGCAGCATTCTGTCCTAAGGGATTTGTGATCAATCCTAGATGCAAGCAAACATACTGTTAGTTTGTCGAATTGGAGTCTTTTTGTAAGAAATCAGTGTAGAGTAGAAAAATTCTAGCTCTGCCTCTTCATGCTGTGTAAACTTCTCTGAATCGCTTGACTTCGCTAAGCCTCAATTTCTGTGTCTATGAAATGATACCTAAATCCTTTTTAACTAGAAGCCAATCTCTTAATTTTATAAGCATTTATGTGTGTGTGTATATATATATATTTTATATTTATGTATGTATATTTTATATGTAAGCTGTTATTTGTGGCCAGTCAACCCTCTAAATACTTAATTTCTATTTTAAGCTACATATAAGCAGCTTCCTATTTTATATTTTATTCAATTTAAAATATTAGAGCCAAACTATATAAAAATAAGATTTCAATCTTCATCACATAGAACTATCCATATAATTGCTTTACTATGAAGCAAAAAATGAAAAAAGTTTCCTTATTTAGAAACCATTCTGGCCCCCAAAGCAAATAGGATCACTGCTGAGAATATATCTAAACTGTAGCTATAGTTAGAGACAATCTGATAGATGGGGCAAAAATTCAGGTTTTTTTCCCAACTAAAGATGCACAACTAATAGATAAATAAAATTAAAGATTTATGATAAAGTACAAGATATCCAAAGCAGAGTTTGGTTTGGTCTAGACTCAACGGTTCTAAAATATAAAACCAGAAGACATTTTCATTATAATCAAAATATTTGGAAAGGTATCTACTACTGTATTTGTATTGTTAATCATAAACTATTACCCTAAATTATATTTCCATATTTCATGTTCTTAGCAGGTATTTTAGAGGCTGAGATAACCTAAAACTGAATCAAGTATGTATGTTTACTCGGCACCTAAGTGTATGTAATCCTACACTAAGTAAGTGTATGATGTGGCATCTCCAGTCTCTCATCCTAGTTAGCTGGAGGAACAGAAATAAAAAGCAATTCATTAATCACATGATACTGGTGATATACATGCAAATGGATATAAATTTAAATTTACACATATTTTGTAAATCTGAAGAGAAAGTTTATATACTTAGGAGCTGAAGACTTAGAAAAAAATTCTTTCTTATTCAATAATTAGATACAATATCTGAATTATCAGACTACTATTAGTAGTCATTAATAAGGTTCTTGTGCATTGACTTAACAAATTATTTTAACAGAATAAAATGACTGTTAAAGTAACAATATTAAGTCATTAAATTATTTTTAAGGAGTTTAAATTTTTTTTAAATTTAATTGGTAATTTTGTGACAAGAAACTGAATCACAGCCAGAAGCATCAAGTTTTAAGCCAGTATGTTAGGAAGAATAGTACATGCTATGACTTTGTAAAAAGTACATTTACAAAATTTTAAAGGGGCTGAATGTCCCGTGACATTACATAATTTCTGGACAACTGAAATGGATTAAAAAAACACCTAACATAGAGGGTCCACCTTGTGGAAACACAAGGTAATTACAAGTCTAAAGGTATCCTATTGCATTGTCGAAGTTTGAAAGTCAGATTTTAGCTATATATCCACAGTTCTTCGAAAGCAAAGTCAAGTTCAGAAATGCAAAATTCTAATTATACTGTTAAAATTACTAGTTCCACATTATTCCAATACCTATTTACCCAGTTTTTTTTTTTCGGAATATTTTTTCAGAGTTCTTCATGTGAAAGAAACATCTCAGAAGATGCTCATTAACAAATGAAAATACAGAAAGTCAAATTTACTTCAAGGATCTAAGAGCTTGCTCCAATTTTTACAATACTAAGGATCGTTTCTTTTTTAATGGCCACTCCTCACAGCCTGTGGATATTAGTCCCCTGACCTGGGAGTGAAGCCTGGGCCCTCAGCAGTGAAAGCTTGGAGCCATAACTATTAGACCTCCAGGGAAGTCCCAACATTGCTTAGAATTCTATTTTAAGTTTTTATTCACGGCACTTATGATTCGCCCATGCTTATGACATATTAATCAATGTTAATGAACCTAGACATAACTGTGACTTGGTTAGTTATTATGTGGTGGTGATGGGATGGCTAAAGAAAAAAACTACCTTTAGCAGCTGTAGAGAGCTTCACCCTAGGCCCTGAGGCCATAGAAAGCAGAATTCATCACCCTAGACTGATGTTTTAAGAAGGAATTAAATGCTAGGATAAAAACCACACAATCTACTGCCCACTCTAGGATGTGCCGGGCATCTGTGGTGTCAGGAACATGTGGCTTTTAAGTCTCTGCAATAATGTCTATAGAGCTTAGTATTTAAGTTTCTGCCTGGCTGTACTAATACTGCAAAATGTTTCTCTCTTCCATGTCCTTTCCCAGGCCTTCTGAACAGTTTGACCACACTGTGGTAAACCTGCACCAACGTGGTGTTAAACTGTGATCCAGGTAAGACATAGAAGACATTAGTTACAATGCTTATTTACTTTTTAATATGTTTGAAATGGGAAAATCAAGAAGTGTTAGCTATATTAATTAACATAATCATTAACCTCTGCTAATGCAAAACTGCTTTAACTCATTATAGTAAGACAAATTGAGGAATAAATTTTGTAATAAAGAATAGAGATATCTGACCTTCAAATGTTTCTTCTAAACGAGGGGTCTTGCAAACTATAGCCCACAGACCAGATCTGCCTTTTTTTTAAGTGGTCCGCAAGGCATGGTCTTTACATTTTTAAATGGTTACATTTGACAAGTTTATACAAGTACATACATGGTATCATAAAATTTACCTTTTGGCCCTTAAACTTTTTTTTACTGTATAGCCTTTTAAAAGACAGTTTGCCTTCTCCTGCTCTAAAATCTTTTTTTTTTTTTAAGAAAATAAATAATAGAAAACGCTGAGTTACACAGAACAGTTAAGTTTGTTTCTAGATGCCCATCAGCAGACGAATGGATGAGGAAGCTGTGGTACATATACACCATGGAATATTACTCGGCCATTAAAAAGAATTCATTTGAATCAGTTCTAATGAGATGGATGAAACTGGAGCCCATTATACAGAGCGAAGTAAGCCAGAAAGATAAAGACCATTACAGTATACTAACACATATATATGGAATTTAGAAAGATGGTAATGATAACCCTATGTGCAAAACAGAAAAAGAGACTCCTATGTATAGAACAGACTTGTGGACTCTGGGAGAAGGCGAGGGTGGGATGTTTCAAGAGAACAGCATTGAAACACGTATATTATCTAGGGTGAAACAGATCACCAGCCCAGGTTGGGTGCATGAGACAAGTGCTCGTGCCTGGTGCACTGGGAAGACCCAGAGGGATTGGGTGGAGAGGGAGGTGGGAGGGGGGACCGGGATGGGGAATACATGTAAAAAAAAAAAAAAAAAAAAAAAGATACACTATGGTTGTGATAAAAAAAAAAATAAAAAATAAAAAAAAATGTAAAAAAAAAAAATTTTAACATCACGTTTGTTACAAAGTTCAAACTCATTATAACCTCACACTGACAACAGTATTCTGACATGT